GGAAAATGGATCTCGCCGGAAAGAGGGAAGTTCACTCCCTGGCTAGAAGTTTAAAGGGAGGAACCCACATTGTTCGCAAGCATCTTGCAGTGAAGTCACTGTATGGGGCAAAGAGGGGTGTGTGTGTGTGTAAGAGAGAGAGAAGCAGCTGGTACTATGCATGGTCGTTATTCACTAATTGTCATCTGTCCTAACTTCAGTCCTAACCTGTGAGTTTCCTTGGACCATTCAAGCACGCCTCCCCCCACCAATGGACTTCATTGTGAATGGTGTATTTAGGGTGACCGGATGTCCCCTTTTTTTAGGGACAGGCCTGATATTTGGGGCTTTGTCTTATATAGGCCCCTATTACAGCCCCACCCCGGCCTGATTTTTCACACTTGCTAACTGGTCACCCTTGGTGTATTTATCTGCTCCAGCCTTCATCTCTAGGGAGTTTAATAAGAACCGATCTATCATGATGGGAGCTGGAGTAGCCAGGGAACTCAAACTGGGACGCCGAATTAGATTCCTGTCTCATCATCTGCTAAAATTCCCAAGGACAGCTCTTGTGAATGTGAATCGCACACCGCTTCAAAGGAGACGGTCTTGCGCCTTGCAGAGAAACATGCCATAGAGGAACACTGAGATTCATCTAGCTCGCTTTGGGCTGTTTGCTCCTGCCTGTCCAGTATGTGACCATCTTCCATGTCAAATCAGTAGCAATTAGCAACATCCCTAAAGGGAAGTGCCAGAGACTCTGTGAAGTCCATTTGATGTGCACTGAAGGAAGAGGGCATGCCAGGGTCATAGGAGAAACCCCTGTCTCCCATCCTCTGTTGCATATCGTGGGATGGCCGGCAGTATTAACCTGATTCATCTCAGGCACTGCAATAAGACACAGGGCAGTGATGGCCTATCAGATAGCTTGGCCCTGTATTAAGGCTTTAACTGTAAGACCATGGCCCCTTGGCTGGAAGGAGCATCCCAAAGCCCCCGCTCCCCCCCCCTTTTATCTGCAAGAGTCTTGTTGCCCCTAGTTTTATATTTTTGTTTGGAGAAGATGATTTGGTGTTTATGAAAGTGAAGGAGCGAATCACTTATTGGGGCGGGTGGTTAGTGCAGCGAGTCTCCGTCCTGAGCTTCGGTCCTGCCCATAAGCAGAGACTGCTGGCATTGCGAGGCTCTTTTCTTTATTTTTGTGATGGTGGCCAACTCTTTTCTGGGGCTGAGAGCCACTGGCCATCTTGTAGGGCCTGATTTCCCCCCCCCACCCTCACCCCCGTCCTGTGCCTTGTGTCATCATTTACTGCTGTCTGGGTGGCAGCTTTTCACACTCACTTTGCACAGGTGTCCATGACTACACTAGTTGCAAGGCTGGGGAGAATCAGGCTCCAGATCTCATCAGGACCGTCTTTGAGCTGAGAGGAGCTCATGTCCTAGCACCCCTTCTGTGTCTCCCAGCAGAACACGTCATCCATTCTGCACTGAACACCAGGTCTGTCTGGGCTGCTTTGTATGGTGGAAGCATCCAGCCACACACATTCCGTTCTTTTCCCCGCTAAACCTGAGCAAGGCGTATGGGCGTTTAGCTCAGAATGTAGCTAGAGGCTTGGGGCCAGTGGGAGTTGGTTCACGGGGTTTTCACCCCTTTATCCTGCACTGTCACTTATTCTAGTTCTAGTGGTTTTGCACCGTTCACACCACGCTGTCGTCCTTGTGTGGCTGCACTGGTGCTCCACGGCGGGGTCATTAGGAGCTGTGGAAGAGCAGTACCTCCTCTTTTCCCTTGAAGTGTGAACATCTCCTGCCCACTGGGACATTGCTCGTTTCCAACAGCTGAATGAATGCAGCTCGCAAGGTTGTTCTGTAACGGGTGTGGCTGTAAAGGGGGCTGGGAAATGAGCCTTGAAGTGGCTTCTTCCCACGCAATCCAGAGTCGGCTCTGCTGTAGTGACTGGCTGAGGCTTCATAAGTCATGTTAGCAAATTGCCTGGATGGTTTTACTAGTTGCCCGAGCCGTAAGCCAGTGGCCCCAGGAGCTGCATGCTTGCCACTAAAGGCAAAACTAGCGGCTGCAGCTGGATTGGGGCCCTGTGATTGTGGTTGTAGCTGCATTTTTAGGATAGTTGGAATCTGGAGGGAAAGGAATGAGCGAGGCTGTTTTATCTGGGGATTTACTTCCCTCCCATCCTCTAGCCCAGGGTAGGGTTTCCTACTTGATAAATATGCAAAATCAGTGCATTGCAGAATGAGTCTATCAGTTACTACTAACTCTGGCTTAAAGATCTGGCAGCTAGCCTAGCCCTCTTGATGGCTTACCCTGACGCTGATAATGGATTGACTAGTCAGTCGTTCTCAGCTGGGTATATCAACCAGGCAGGACTCAGAAGGGCCTGATCCTAGTAAACGCTCAGCACCCTCAACTCACTTGGATTTCAGCGCAAGCTGCAATTGCTCAGTGCCGCTGAGAATCAGGCCCACAGGGGCAGTTGGCTCTTGGCTGAGGCTACTAATGACTTAAGCCCAGACCTTTATTGTTATAGTGTGTTGGGTTTATTCAGTGCTGGGATTTTCCTCCCTCTCCTCTGGCTCAAAGAGGCTCCGTCATCTCCCTCTGGTGGTAGCAGACGTCATGGCTGGCAGAAGGCTTCCCAGGTTGCATTGTCTTAATACCACTCCTCAGACTGTTGTGGGCATGTTTGTCCCTGTCACGGTATAAAGTTGCCGTTTGTTTCCTACCTCTCTCAGTTCAATCCGTAACTACAGCAGTGCCGAGCTTTTGTTTTTTAAAGTCATGAAAATCAATGTGGCACATTACACTTGTTTCCCTTGGTAGATTTCTTCAATATGCTTTGATTCACGTCACTTACTAATATAACCCTTCACTGGTGCTAGATGTTTGCAACAGGGCTGTGTCCAGGGCCGGCGCAATCCATTAGGCGACCTAGGCGGTCGCCTAGGGCGCTACAATTTGGAGGGTGGCGACCGTGGCGGTATTTTGGCGGTGGCATTTCGGGGCGGGACCTTCTGCTGCCTAGGGCGGCAGAAAAGCTGGCAGCGCTCCTGACTGTGTCCATTGAAACAGAAGAAAAATCAGTTGCTTGTCGTCTTCATGGGTATTAGCTATTTGCTCAGCATCCACTGGGTGTGTCAGGGCAGTAAGCATTGAGTTAGGTTGCTGGCTCTCTGTTGTTGCAGTGTCTGTCTGTGCTGATTATGGAGCAATTTAGTGTGTAGCCTAAACTCACGGGATGGAATTTAATCGGTTGCCACGATCGATGGATGGAAGAGGCCAGATAAAAAGACCTCACCTCTGCCGGTGAAAGGAGGGAGCTATTGATAGATTAGTCCAAAAGACATTGGATATGAAAATGCTACTACTTGAGAGGTGGATTAAATCCCAAATTGAGATGTAGCTGTCAGTAAGTGGAGAATTTGAGTAGTTATCCAGATTTCAAAGGGGATAATTCCTAGATGCCCTGCTGGAGAAAATGCTGCAAATCAAGACTCTTCCATAATTGCATTGGGCTAGAGGTTGCAGCCTGCCCAGATCTCCACGCAAAACAAACTGAGCAGTGGAACCAGGTGTTGGGAGGGAGACGGGAGGTGTCCGTGCACTGTTACTTCCCAGAAGGATTTAGTTAGTCTGAGCTGCTGCTGGGATGTTTAGATTGCGCTTTGTTAGACAGAAAGTGTTCTCTTGATTGTGATCATGCAGAACAGGATGCGATGGTTCCTTGGATCGTGTGTGGTGGGAGTCTACTACTGTGTTTCTGACCCCAAATGCGGCTGTTGAGATTATTATGATCACTAGGGAAACAGTGCTTGAGCCAAAGATCCTGTTCTGGACCGTCTGAATTGGATGGAGAGCATCCAGCAATGCATGCGATGTGCCGCGGTAGGAATGGCAGCATTCTGTCGCGGCTGGGGCACAGAAATAGAAATCAGGACTCCAAAGCTCAGTCGCTGACTTTCTCTTTTGACTTGGGCAAGTCACTTGACTCCTCTACGCCTCGGCTTTCCCTCTGCAGAATGGAGGTAATTTCCTCACAGGCTGGGATGTGAGGCTTAATGTCTGTAAAATGCTTGAGACCTTTGTACAAAAGATTGTGTATAAATGCACAGTATAGTTGGCCGTTCATGGCAGCTAGCACATTGAAACCTAGAGAAGTGTGCTTGCCTTTTGACCATTCAAAGACTTAATTGAAACCGTTAGGGTAGCAGTCTTCGAGCGCCTGCTCTGCAGATGTCATTAGAGAGGAATGTCCCTTTGATCTCCATGGGCTCAGGGACCAGTGAGTCTGCAACTTGCCTTTGGGTGGAATTTTTGGGGCGCTAGCTCTTTGCAAGGCGGCATATGCATTTTTCGTGATCTTAGACTTCTCGCCAGGCCCCAGTGCATTTCTCTGCTGTGGTATTTGTGAGACAGAGAATACGTTGAGACATGTTCGATGGTATGTAATTATTTTCCATCTGTCCTGCAGCATTATTTGGGACGGAAACTGGCTTATCTGTATCCTCAAATGTTAGCAAGATTCATTCCCTGCATTTAAAGGGCTTCCTAGTTTTAGGAATGGCTCCAGTTTCTGAGCTTGATTAGTTAACTTATTGGGGGCGGGGGGTGAGAGAGAGCGAGACCATCTCTAATTTAATTTAATTTAATATGACCCCAAAGGGAACAAACTCGCTATGATCAATACAGCCTTTCTTCCTAATGGATGGCACTACCATAGTAACATTCAGCGCTGCCTCTCTGGTGTCTGGAATCGCTTCATTCAACCTACATGGTTTCCTTTTTTAAAAAAATGAAAAAAGCGGCTGATATAAACTGTTGCTGAGGTAACAAGGGTACATGGGATACATGGGAGGGAGTTTTATCCCCCCCCTTCCATACAGAAGAAGGGAAGTTGCGGGCGGGGGGGGGGGGAGTGTGCTGCAGAGAATCATGGGAGGTTTCATTCTCGACTCCTAATTCCTTTCTGCCACTGCTGCCAGATGTTGCAGTTTCTCAGGGTTGTGTGGATCTGCTTGGGAACTTTCAAAGTGTCCGGCGAGAACCCTAGCGAACTGAACTGCTCCGACCATGGCCTGTGCAGGGACTTGGCGTGCAGGCTCCGTTCTCCGTAACAAAAGGAAACTGCCGATTTGGCTTTAAGCTCCGAGAGGTGCAGAATGGAAAGGCCTGCGTGCACATTTTTCAACAGCTAAGTTAAAATCTCTCCCTTCTCTGACGGATACAAAAGCTGTGGGATTCTTTTTGTTTGTCTTTTTTCCGCCCTAACCATGGGATGTCTGTACTCGGTCCCACAAGAGGACCTGACTCTGGGGAGGTGAGTCAATCTTCCTGATCAAGCAAACTGTAGATCTTACTCCCAGGACCGCGTCTCTCTTAAGAGCTGCATGTAATTGTATATTGATCTCCCTGCTGAACTCTGAGGGCAGGAAGAGAAGGGGAAAGGAGGTTCTGCCTAAGGCATGCTACTCGGGCAGAGAAGTACAAGAGACTGCTCTCTGTCCAGCGGGGCGGAGGGTGTAAAAGGCAGTTCCTGTCTTTTTCTGACTCAGAGCGACATCTGGACCTAGGATCTTGTGCTGAAAAATACGTACAAGTTAGTGCCATTGGGGGTCCTAAGGAGGAATATTTTGGGGGCCCCCCACACAATACATGCCAATAATAGGGGGACCCCTGAGCTGCTCCAGGCCTAAGCAGTTGCTTAATCTGCTTATGCCTAGTGCCAGCTTGCACGTTGGTGACTAAACAAGACTGCTCTGCTGGGAGGCTGCTGCCTTGGGCGCTTTCTGACGGGATGTGGATGGTTATGATCTGGAGACTTTGACCATCAGCTGCATTGGCGTTTCTCTCTTTTGAACTGTTGGCTTTAAACTCAAACCAGAAACAGAGTCTCAGGGAGGTTCTCTGCATTTTTGGATGTTGGTAGGAAGAGCGAGAGGAGCACAGTCTGTATAGCTGTATATTTTAAAGCTGTAGGTTAAACCGAGTTAACACCCCCTCCCTCTGCCTGGTTTCTCGCTTGTGGTACAAACCATACCATAGACTATTAGAAATAAAAGAGCATTGTACATATTGATGGTACTTTTCACTCCTTAGGTTTACTGTTTTGGTTCTCTCTCCTTTTGGGGCAATGAAAATAGACTTGTGGTATGGCTTTTATCATCAGTTTCTGTTCATTTTCACATTCAGGTTCTCCTGCTCTATCAGGGTGCTGCAGTGGGTTGTAAAAACCAAAACCCTGTTGTCTTTAATTTGTTTGGTGTTTATGGAGCGCCCATCACCACAGTAGCTAAACGCTAGATGAGTGTGTATCTAAATAAGAGACACAATCTTCATACTGTGTATGGAAACATATTTTCTTTTGGTCTTATGTTGTGTAACAGCTTCTAACAACCTAATCCCCTGATGGCTTTCCCTTAAAATTGGTTTAGTACAGCTGCTGTGTACGTTACAATGTCTCCGTGGATCCAATCATTGTCCGATGCTAGTTTCTTCTAATAGCTTAGACGACCTTGCACAGTTCTCTCTCCCCTGACACTTAACCTGTAGCCGCAAGGGACTTATTTCGTGCAAAGAGAACAGGGTCCAGTCAGAGCCTAGTGAGGGGAGCTGTAGCAGTTCATTATTTTGGGGTGGGGAGAGGAGGCCTGGAGAGAGATGTATTTGAGCACATCCCCAGCGCAAAGAGAGCTTTAGACACATTCTCTGGGATCCTTCCCTCGGGGCCGCGCGGGTTAGGAAACTGTTAGCGCACTCTGCACACTCTCACACGGTCAGAAGCCAAAGCTTCTTGTTTTTGCCCAGAGGCTCCTCTCTTCCCACGGGAGACCCAGCCTCGCATTCTTCCACTGTGAAAGGAAAATGGGAACGCGTCCCATGTTCCTCGCTTCCTGCGTGCGGCGAAAGCCCCAGGCGGTGAATGAGTGAGCAATCGGCTGGCACTCATCCTGCTGTCTGGGAAAAGACCCCAGTGTCTAATATGACTATAGCTGGAAAGCCACCGCTTCTCCTGGGGTTCCCGGGACCGGATCGCGTTCTCATATAGTTTATTTCCGTTCACTTCCAGAGTGAGCTGGGTCGCTTACACCAGTGTCACCCTTGTGAGGCTAGTGCGGTTGCACTGGTGTGACTGAGCCCTTGTTTATACTGCCTTTCTAGCCACTAATGTCCCTAGTGTACACACTGTTTGGACTGGGGCAGTTTGTCCCTGTTTCAAAGTGGAGCAAGCTGCACTGATACACATTGCACTATGCTAGTATAAATTGTGTCTATACCAGGGGCCTGCATCAGTGGCTGAAATCCCTGTGTAGACAAGGCCTGAGAGGAGACTTTAGCCCTCAGATGGCAGCAGCCTGCTTGCAAGGGATTTTTGGTAGCTCTAATCAGAGGTCTCCAGGTGTTTGGTTCTGAGGCTGTGTCTACACTGTGACGAAAGACCGCAGCCGGCTTGGGTCAGCTGACTTGGGCTTGGGCTGCAGGACTATAAAATTGCACTGTAGTCGTTCGGCTCTGCGAGCTGAAATCATCTGGCCCAGGCTCTGACACTCGGTGCTGTGGGGTTTTTGATCACGACGTAGACATACCCCTGGAGGCTTGTGGCGCTGGTTCATTCTGTGAGCAGAGCAGCCGTGTTCCTGCACATCCATCTAGGCTTGTCCTAGAAGCTTTGTAATGAGGGGCAGCTGCGCCTGTGGGCTGACGTGCCTGCCTTCTGAGTCAGATGTTGTGTTTAAAACCTACTTTGCTCTAAGGCTAAACTGATGAAAGAGCATCCCTTTACTGCCCCTGGAGAGAGGCAAGAACTTCATCCTTCCCTTCTCTTGCCCTGCATTTTCCTCAGCCCTGCCCCATGGACAGCGCCAGGAAGGGGATATCGGTGCGGGGCAGTCATGAGAACCCCGTCGGATAATGAATCTCAGAACGGATCATTTCAGCCAAGAGGTGGGAAAGGACGTTTGAAGGGACTCGGGTGGAAATCCATCTGAATTGGAGGCCAGTGTTGAGCTGCCAGGTTTCGAGCTTACGTCACATTGAAGTTTGCCTGAGACGGGGAGGGAGTTCCGGGGAGCTGTGCAAACTGGAACGTCTGTTCACAATAGCGAGCAGCTTGTTGGCTGGATTTTGAGATGAAGAAGCCCTGTGGCTGACCAGCCGGGGTCCTTGAGGCTTCCTGAACGTAGGGACTGCCAAACCAGAAGAGAATAATTGCACAGCTAGTCTGGTAGCATGTCTCCAGCAGTGGTCATTGCCTGCCGGCCAATGCTGCAACACTGGTGGGAGAAGGAAGGCTTATTCCCGATCCCAGACTGGGGATCAGCTTTTACTCAGGCCAGGTCTCGACTAGGAGCGCTTTGCTGGTACCGCTATACTGGCAAAGCACTTGTAGTGTGGACGCAGCTTATCCCAGCAAAATTGCGCTGATTCCAGGCCCCCATCCTTGCTGAGCGAAGCAAGCTATGCTAGCAAAAGCCCAGTGTGATCGATAGAACTGTGTCTGCTCTGCGGGGTTTGCCCAGCACAGCTGTGTCGGTCAGGGATGTCTCCCCAGCACACCTCTGACTGATCTAGCTAGGCCATCCAACGTTGGTAGTGTGGCTCTGGACTTAGAAGCATGAGGAGTAGCAGCTCCTTGTCGTTTGTATCCTAGCTAGCTTAAGAGCAGATGCTGCTTTGATTCATATAGATGACTAATTGTTCTTCCTCCACTTGACCTCTTTCTTCCTGCTGTAGTGAGTTCAGTGGTTAACGTTGCATAAAAACATTTCGAGTGTTTCCTTTGCATAACTTCATTGAGCGCCTTCTGGGACTGGTTAAATAAAAGCATTTGAGCATCTCTGTGCAACTTGCTGTGTTTACAGACGTCTATCAGAGCTCTGCTTGCTAGATTAAATAGTCCTTGGGCTAGATTTACAAAGGGATTTAGACGCAGATGGGCACCTAGAGGGATTTTTAAAAGTGCCGAAGTGCGTTAGGCACCTGACTCCCGTGGGCGCCCCAACCCCAGTGACTGATTATTTCTGCTGTCCTTGTCTGTCTCTCGTGGCCAAAGCTGAAGCACCACTGCTCAAGGTGAGGGTGTACCCCTGGATTCATAAAGCAGTGATATAATCTCGGTGGCTAGGGCAATTAAACCAAGAACAGTGTCTGGGAGAGAGGGAGCGTCGCTGTTCACTGTGTGTTCTTGGTTTCCAGTGACGGTAGCTTGTGAAGATGAAGGAGGGAACAGAAGTAGTCAGGCCCTACCACCATGAAGAGGTTTATGCTTCCAACATAAGTTTCAATCCATAGCTGAGTGTTCCCCAGTCTGGGGGATGCACCGGGGAGCAGAAGGTTCATGTATAGCATGCAGCTAGCTCAATAGATCTTTGTAATCCTGAGTCTTGTCTGCATTTCAGGGTGGGGAGCTTAGGAGAGGGGAAACAGGTGTGCGTGTGTGAGTGTAAGTTACTGCCCATCTCCTTTTGGGGCTGACTTTCCCCTCCCTTTCCTTCCCCACCCATTGGTCTCCCCTGCACGTGTCATTTTGTGGATCATCCAACTGCTAGTGCTCTTGGAGTGGGCTGATCTCATCTCTCAGGGTGGCGAGGGAAAGTCCTCTCTGCCCCATCACTGCCGTCCTGCTCCAGGTTCCATGTAAGTAGGATCTCAGGGTTGTTAATGCACCTGGGCCCTTGTGAATGGCAGCGGGACATGTTCACCAGGCTGCTCTCCTCTGTAGCCTTATCCCGCCTCTATGAAGCAGGTTTCTTCCCTAGCCATGTGTAGCAATCCCCTCGGCTCCTCCCCGACCTGCTCCAGGCTCTCCGACTGCCCCATTCCGCCTCTCTCCGGATTACACATCCATTGAAAGGGAGGCCTTTGCTGTCTTTCAGAACATCCTCGGTGAGGGAGAGCAGCTTTGTTGAGAAGATGAAGAAAACGGTAAGTTTTTCTTTCTCCTTTCTGAGGCTGTGGAAGGAGCAGGGTCTTCCTGTTCAGCCGGCGTGGAGGGGATGGAGGCCTCTTCCTTCCCTTCCTTTCCAATTCCTGCCCCTGTTCATGGCACTCTGGCAGCGGGCGGGCGGGCAGCTTCTTGTGTGAGGTACCGGCCCCCTCCAGCGCTAAAGAAGCAGGAGCTGCTTAGCAACTGAGCTGTCTAGCTAACATCAGCAGGGAGCTGCTGGCAGATGGATTCGGTCCTGCTACTAATGAGCATCTTCGTGCAGTAGCTGAGTTCTGGAAGGCCAGTAAAATTAAATAAAAGGGGTGTGTGTGTTGGGGCAGAGTGGGGGGAGATCAGGGCTGTTTCTAGAGCACTCTGTAGATATCCTTTTGTACTAGACAGATGAAATCTGCCTCTTTGAAGAGAGAGGTAATTCGGGTGAGGACTCAGCAGCAAAGGGAAGTGTAATGTGAGGTTGGGGTCAGGAGGAAAATGGTGGAAGTCCTTTAACTCACTGGCTGATCATTATATGGTAGCACCCACAACATGCTAGGCGCTGCCCAAATGCTTCAGAATGACCAGTTCCTTCTCCAAGGAGTTCCTACTCGAAGGAGCTGTTCTCCAATCACACACTGTTCATCGCTCCCCCAACCCCCTCCACAGAATAATCACGTGTCACATTTTAGCAGGTTTCCATGGTGGATCTCAAAGCACTATACGAGCAGTAGTTTAGCCTTCCAGTCCCAGTGTGTAGGTATTACACAGAAGCCCAGAGATGTGATTTTGCCCAAGTTTGTGTCAGAGCCAGGAATACAATCCAGGACTCCTGACGCCTGGTCCTTTCCTTTAACCATGACAACACCCTCCTCTCCCCTGAACTCCAGTGACTGGCCAAATTAGCAACTCGTGTGTAATTGGGTCTCTGTCTTTACAGGGGCGGAACATCGTGGTGTTTTATGGTTCCCAGACTGGTACAGCAGAGGAGTTTGCCAACCGCCTGTCCAAAGATGCCCATCGTTACGGCATGAGGGGCATGTCAGCGGACCCGGAGGAGTATGATTTGGTAAGTTAAACTTCGCTGCATACAGCATCTTTACTCCATTATCAAATTCCATGCGTGCGAAGAGTACATAAGTGGTGCCTGCGACCAGCTCTGATGCTGGGCACACTGAAGGGATATGTTATTAATTAACAAAGAAGGGGATGAGCTGTTAGCATTGGCTGCTTGCAGCCATTATTAAGTAACTGTGGGTCCAGTAAAATACGGCACAGAGAGATGAGGAATGTGCCCTTGAACCATTTAGTGCTAGCAAAATCAAGGGCCTTAGCCCCTGAAAAGTTATGTGCTGCTTGCTATGGGAATGAGGAGGGGTTACCACCTTCTTTACAGGGTTATTCCCAAAAGGGGAGTAATTGTGAACTGAACCAACCATTTTTAGGCTCCCCCAAAGAGCCAGACCTTCCCGTCTGCTGGGAGGAGAGATTGGGCCAATGGATTTCTCCCCTTCTGGCAGTGGGACTGAAGGGGGAATGGGGCAGGGCTGTGAGCTGCAGAGCTTGAGTGTGCTCTGGGGCTTCAAGCAGCTGCTTGGCTTGATGGTGCCGAAGGCAGGAGCTGAAGAGGGCATATCATGCTGGGCAGCAAAAGGGTGGGAACAAGCAGGAAGCTGGTGTGGGCCGTTTGGAAAGAATGAGCCAGCCGCTTCTGGAGAGCTTGCCCGCTCTGGTCCGTGTTCCTCCATTAGCTAACCTCAGCCCGCTGAACTGAGACCTCTGTGACCTCGGCATGACAGTCAGATGTGCTACTGACGAGTATAGAAAATAATAGCTGCTTACAAAGTGAAGTGAGCCAGAACCCCTCTTCTGAGGGCTGGCTGGGTGGGAGGCCACCTTGCTCTGGGATCTGAGTCGGAGAGCAACTTCACACCGAAGAGGAATTGGACCCCATACTCTGAGAACCAGTGGGTGAGAGAAATCTCTCCGTTGGGGCCAGAGCCAGTGCAGATGTTCCACCACCTCCGTATCACAGAGAACACCTCGGTTCTGGTGATTTGATAGGTCACCTTTACCCTGGGAATCTGTCGCCAGGCAACCTGAAGGGTTCTGAGGTGCCATCTCTTCGATTAAACATTTGGCCTGACCACTTGTAGCCTGTTCAGAATATTCCTTGGTGCTTTCCTGCAGAGTAAGAGTGTTAACCGCAGTGTCCTAGCCGCAATCCTGTTGGTTAACAATGCGAAGCAACTCCAAACAATTGCCACGTTGCACACCAGAGGCGGTTGCATTTTAGTGGTGGTGATGTGAAACCTCTCCCCCCCCCCCCCCCCCCCCGAAATAACGTTCACAATAATTGCTTTGGGATCCTCGAAGATTAAAAGTGCTACATAATGTAAGGAACTTAATCTCTCTGGCCTTGTTTCTAGTCTGATCTGAGCCGCCTCTCTGAGATTGACAATTCCTTGGCCGTGTTCTGCATGGCTACGTACGGAGAGGGTGATCCCACGGACAATGCCCAGGATTTCTATGACTGGCTGCAGGAGACTGATACTGACCTGACTGGTCTCAAATTTGCAGTAAGTAAACCAGCTCTGTGTTACTGCTTATGCCTGATTTAGGCATGAAAGTCCCCCATGCATATGCCCAAATCAGACATGAATTTACAAGTGAGCATGCAATCTCAGTTTGCATGCCTTGCATCCATGACTTGCACATCTGTGTCAGGTGCGCACCGTTGTGTGCTGCACACGTTTGCAAACATGGGTCTGTGTGCTTTAAAAATGACTCATGTCTCCCTCCTTCCCCTCTACATCATATTGCTGCAGACGGCGTCTAGCACACACTTGAATGTGAAGGCTGTAACTAAGTTACAGGCTACTGTTATTGTTTAGCAGGCTAATTGGACAGCCTTAGGCCAGATATTCTCCTGCAAATTAGATTATTCCAAGAAATGTATCATTTCTTTCCTGTACTTAAATTTAATCATGGCCGAGATGGAACTGCCTTACCTACCTCCCTTGCAGATTTCCTGGGCTGGGTGGTACCCAGAATTGCAAAGCATGAGATAATCTATTGCTTGGTCTCCAAATTAGGTAGTTTCACCCCAGTGGGGGTATAACATACGGTACAAACACGTCCATCGCTGACATTGGAATGGAAGAGATGGTAGGTTAGAGAGCTGGGTACTGATGGTAGGGGGAGATGTAGAGCCAAGTGCTCTGATCAGCCCCGGAAGAGGGGCCACTTCCCTCACTCTGTCCTACTCCTGTGCCTGGTGGATAGCGCTCAGGCCTGGGACTCAGGAGACCTGGGTTCCATCCCTGGCTTGATTGTCCTGTGGGGTGACCTTGGGCGAGTCACTTCCCTGCAACATACCTCAGTCTCCCGCTCTGTAAAATGACCACTTTTGAAATCTACTGATGAAAAGTGCTAGGAAAGAGCAAGGTGGTGGTATTCATGTTATTTATAATGGGGGAGAGGACAATTCAGACGCATGGCTCATTCAGTGCTAGGCCTCTTTCTTGAGGCTTCTAAAAAGGAGCCAGTTGTGGTGGCGCTTTTTAGTGCGGTTCTGTGCCCCAGGAACCGAACCCCCCGGCTCACCTCAGAGAATACCGAATAATCGGCAGATGGGGACGGCTTTTGGTCACTGTGGATCTGGGCTGAATTTGAACATGTGACCTACAATAGTGGTGAAAGTTTATAGCCACAGAAAACCTACCTCCTTAGCCAGCCAGAGCCCTCCAAATGGACTCCCCGGCTCCTTTTGATAGAGACATTGTCTGTTTATAGCCAGTCCTCTTTGGCGTGAGGTTTTTGAATTAAAGCATTGGCTTCGTCTGATGGATTGCCTGTCATTCCCTTCCAGGTGTTCGGCCTGGGCAACAAGACGTACGAGCACTTCAACGCGATGGGGAAATACGTGGACAAGAGGCTGGAGCAGCTCGGAGCCCAGCGGATGTTTGAGCTCGGCATGGGAGATGACGACGGGAAGTGAGTAGAGTTGGATGTATGGTTTGAGCATTGGCTGGCTCGGAGCAAGCACAGCAGAACAGGTCCAGCTGAAATTAGTTATTTGGTGCGTGAACTAGAGGAGGGCAGGTACGGAGGGGAGCACAGGGTATGGGAGGAGATATTGCATTGGGGTCTCACTGCAGTTTGCTTCCGGAGCACCCCTCTGGCTGTCCAGGACATGGCATTGACCTTGCTTCTTCTCTCCTGCCTTGAACAGCCTGGAAGAGGACTTCATCACTTGGCGGGAGCAGTTCTGGCCGGCAGTGTGCGAGCACTTTGGCGTGGAAGCTACCGGAGAGGAGTCCAGGTAAGTGTGGGAGCAGAGGAGATACCAGCATGGATTTTTTGCAGAAATCCCAAGTGAAAAGCGGCATTTTGGCATCCAATCCCCATCCAGGCCCGAGCAAAGACTCACCCCATTGAGACTTAAAAGTAGCGAGAAACCTTAAGTAGATTCACCCTTGTAAAGGAGAGAAGGTCCAGTCCAAACATCCCTACGTCCTGGGGTAAGTTTGACTCCAGATCAGAACTTTGGCTCCATTTCTTGAGTTCACTACTCCATGGCACAAAACCCTTTATAAATAGCTGTCAACTAAATAACCTGGCGATGAGTCCAGCGATGCTGCTGCTGTTTCTCTGGTCTCCCTCTTGTCTCTCTCACTAGGCCATCTCCCAGGCGGTACCCTACCCCATTTATCATGGTCTGATAAGATACTTAGATCATCTGCCATAGCGAGCCTGGGCACCGACACGTCATGCTGAACACTGATTGAATGCAATCTAGAACCAGAGCCAGTCAGATGAAAGCTGAAGTCCCCAGTGCCCCTTGCTGAAGGCTTGTGAAACAAACGCCTCACACCTCCCTAAGATCTGCAGGGGGCACACTGCAAAAGCTCAGGGCCTTGGAGGCAGTTACATGGGCAATAGCCTGTCTGCCTCAACAAACCCCTGCTTCCAGCCGGCACAGGACAGTGGGGTTGTGCAGGGAGGAGGAGTGTCCATTAAGGGCTTTAAAAGCCCAAACCTTGAACTCCATCCACCCGAGGCATCTAGAACGCGGCAGCAGCTTTCTGCACCAGGGGATGGCCAGAGGGAAGCAGATTCCCTGCGTGGTACCCTCGTACTTCACGCTAGCTGTGCCTGACAGAGGAGCCCCTTGTGCGACTCTGGCCATGGTGCGTAGGCTGCTGACATGGTGTGCTGGTCGGGTCAGCTTGGGAGAGAGAGGGACGAAGTCTGGCTAAAAACCTATCCTTGCCGCAGCTTGCACCTGAGCCATCGGAATCCGCCCCGGGCCAGGCCGAAGCTCTGCAGCCGCTCCCCATTAACAGCTGGGGAGACCCAGGGAAATGTCCGTGTCTCCCCATAGCTCCCCGTTGACCCCAGTGGCATAACTTGGTTGGTTTATTCTTAGCCGGCTGAATCACGGATAGAGCACTGCACGGGCCCCCTCAGAGCTCAGCGGGAGTGACGTATGATATCTTTGGCGTAGCAAGTGGAACCCACTGTACGTACAGGGAACCTCGTAGAGAGACAGCCCATCAAGCAGAGCCAGCGCTCTCTCCTCGCCCAACCCCAATGCAGCCCAAGGGCCCGGACCCATCGAGAAACTCCTTCGGCACGTTCTCACTCCTGCCTAACTCTTGTCAGCAGGCCCAGCAGAAAAGCCAGGGCGTGGATGCATGTGGAGAAGGAGCTAGCCTCTCCTCCCTGGGCGTGGTCAGTTATGAGAGACCCTGGGGAGGGCATGGATGAGCTTTCCGCCAGGCAGTGACTGCACCTGCTGCAGTATAAAGCGGTGGCTATCAGTCTCCAAAGCTGTCAGCCTGGCTCTTTCCTATCCGCTTTAACTTAATGTATATAGAGCAAATAAAATGCTTGGGAACAGAACGTTTCATGCTTTGGGTTTTTTAGGAGCTGTAGTATTAATATTCAGATTTTGAGCTGCAGGACAGATAATAAATCCATCATTTCCCCAGGGCGGTAACTGTTCTTTGCAAGTGGGAGATTTAGCGTTGTTTCATGAGTGAATCTGCAGTAGGTTTGAATTCCTGGCACGCTCATTTCCACAAAACATAGGGAAACGGCTTCCTTTTCTCTCGGCTGTCCCTGTCGTTCATAAACGGGGAATGTTTGTCCAACAGCCTGAAGCTGATGAACTTTGTGTCGATTAACAGCTCGGGAGCAAAGTCCCACGAAGACTGTTTTCCAATCAATTGTAAAGGGTTCAGCAAAGTTCAGTACTTGGTGAACTTTGTTTTTCCTTTGGAAGCTTCCCCAGGTAGCTCTGGCCCTGATCTCTTCTGAGTAAGCTGAGGGTTGTGCCGAATGACTAAGTGTTTTTTGTGATGAGGCCTGTGGTCTCTAGGCCATTAGACTGAGACTTCCAGACTTGTGTCATGTGTGACCTAAGCAGCTCTGACCAGCCTTTTTGAAGTTTAAAATGCTAAAATAACCCATCGTGCCACTACTTCCAAAAGTGCTTTCTCTGCATAGGGATGTTGACTGGGAAAAGAGGGTTGTTGATTACACCCAGCAAACCAGATGTTACACGTTGTCCAAGCCGTGTTCAGTGGGTCACAGCTGCCTCCTTTCTCTCTTTCTCCAGCATCCGTCAGTATGAGCTGGTGGTCCACACAGACATCAATATGAACAAGGTCTACACTGGCGAGATGGGCCGGCTGAAAAGCTACGAAAGCCAGAAACCGTAAGTACCGGATTATCCCATGTAACGTTGGCCGAGAGTGGTCGGTGCAGAAAAGTCAAGAAGCATGTCCTTCAAAGCATGATATTAAATGCTCTGCTGGAAGTTGTCATTGCCCTAACACGGCCTCCTAAAATCCACATTATTTGAAGGTGTGGCTGTAAAATACCAGGGTCAAGAGACAAATGCATTGGCGAGGTCAGAGCAGAACCACAAATGTTGGTTGATGAAGATTGAGGCCTGGGAGGAAGTCTAAGAGGGAAGCCAGCTGTCTTCTGCAGGGGAGAGGCATCAGTTTCATGTAGGACAGAAGGAGGAAGAAAGCGATCACTTGCAACAGGGTAAACTCAGGTTAAGTATCAGGAATAACCGTAAGGATCAAGCTGCCAAGGGAGGCTCTGCCCGGATAGTCAAGGCTAGACACCCATTCCTTAGGGATGGTGTAAAGATAATGAGATCAGGCCTGTTGAATTGCAGCGTGATGGATGGGGTAAATGTCCCACTAGAGGGCCTCTTCAGATCCGATGATCTGGTTTTCCATGCTACCAGGAGGAGCCATTTTGGGCTAGTGAGAGAGAGCGAGCATTGATGCATCTTATAACACTTTGCCAGCTTACAAGATTGCATCGTACTAACTTTCAACTCATTTAGGAGGGTGGAAGAAGAGAGGAAGGGTGGCGCAGTGGGTTAGGCCCTAGACTGTGACTTGGGAGATCAGGGGTCAATTCCCTGCTCTGCCACAGACTTTGTGTGTGACCTGGGGCAAGTCACTTAGTCTTTCTGTGCCTCAGTTTGCCACCTTTATAATTGGGATAATGGTACTACCCTCATGGGATGTGGTGAGGGTAAATACATTACACTACAGTAATGGGGGCCATATAAGTACGATAGATAGATAGATGGAGGGGGTGGAAGGAGCTTCCAAGCCATAGCCCTCTCTTAGCTGCCCTTCTGGAATGGCTGTTCCTGAAAGGAAGTCCCAAGTAGCAGCAATAAGGGATTCAGAACTCAGTGAGTTGTGAAATACCCTCTGCTCCCTTGAGTGTAGAAGGCCAGTGAGGAAAACCCATGTGACTCTCAGAAGACTCATGCACATGTTGCAATGTCTATTGAAACATGCTCCGGAGAGGGTGGGGACAGCATCACCAATTTGCAGACAGAAACCAGCGCTTGGCACAGAACTTGGGAGGATGAAACCCCATGAAAAGTCCATTGCATTTTCCCCGCGGTGTCTGTTTAACCTTCAGAGGTTTGGCCCTGTAAAGCCGCGAAGCTGCGATCCAACAGAAAGTCATCTGATACCAGGTGCAAGGTCACCCTCTGCGCTCTCTCAGTGAGGACACTGGTTGTTCTTCCCCTTAGGCAATGATTCTTTGGGTTGGCTCATGAGTGGCGCCGCAGTTGGTAACATGACTCTGGCATGTGTGAAACGCTGCGCACCCTCCCGGAATGCTGTTGGAGGGAGAAATGCTAGCTGTGTTCAGGTCACAGGACCTGCTTTCCCTCTTGGGAGCTACAGGGGAATTGCAACACTTAGAACAGGCTGTAACAAAACAGCCTGTTCTGGCAGGAAGGAACTGGTACTTGCTCTAAACACCAGAGGCCACGTTTTTAACCAGGGCTTTTTAACAGTGTGCAGATTTGAGAGGCTGAATGCTAATTTAGCGTCTCAAACACCAGTCCGATCAGGGGTCTGTTCTTGGCTTTGCTACTCAGACCCCTGATCGGACTGGTGTTTGAGACGCTAAATTAGCATTCAGCCTCTCAAATCTGCACACTGTTAAAAAGCCCTGGTCAGAAGGGACCATCATGAGCATCTTCTAGTGTGACCTGCACATTGCAGGCCACTGACGTGCTGGATGGCCTTAGAGGAAATTGCTTCCACACTTCATTTTCCCCATCAGTACGAGGGGAGGTTATAATCCTTCCTTATCTCACCTAGGCATTTGGGTTAAATTCGCTAGTGCATATGAGCTGTTCAGACACTATGACAATATGTGCTCTAGAAAAGCCTTTTAGTGCCTATGTACCTGTTGCACCTACATACCAGGTAGTTAAAGTGCTACGTGCTGGCATCTGCCTCTGGGCAGGAACAAACGTACAGGCCGGATTTGAAGCCCTTTCTTTGTAACCTTGATTAAAGCAGCACCTGTAGCAACTTGGATTGGGTGGGCATTCTGCAAAACCTATTGATTTTCCTTGGACTTTTGGGGAGGTGGGAGATGCATGAGGGTGAGTAAGATTGGGAGGGAGTTGGGGGTCTCTCCTCTCTTTTGGTTTGGCTACTTTTGTGCTGTTGGCGAAGATTCGCTACTAGGTTTTATTATTTTTGTATGGACTGTTTTAAAGTTTATCAAAAGAACCTGGGCCATCACATCTCTAATTGTAAGTGGAAAGAGACTAATTTGTAATCTCCCAGGCACCTGCTTGTAGACTTAATGCAGGGAGCTCTGCATTCGTCCCCATGGGTCAGCAATCAGGCTGTAGGGGGTGACCTGGGAGTCTTCTAGAACCAGTGCTGCAAAGTGGAATAAAGTGTATTCCTGCCATATAGGGAAGTGGGAGTGTCAGATTGTGGTGGGAACAGTAATATTAATACCTCGGTTTTATATAGTGCGTTTCATCTGTAGATCTCAAAGCACTTTACAAAAGAGATGGTATCCCCATTTTATAGATGGGGAGACCCACAAGTAGAAGGACCTGGACAGGGAAGGTCTTGTCCATTAATGTTTTCATGCTACCGAGCCAGCCAGCTGTTACTCTGTGTAAAGTCAACTACTGACCTATCAAAAAAAAAAAAAAAAGAGAGGCTCCATTAGAAAAAGGAAGAAAACGAACCCAAAGATCAGTGCAGTGGGGTGAAACTACTAGTGCTTTAAGTTGCACAGAACAAGGATAAAGTCTGGTTGTAAACGGAGTGCTTGCTGTTCCCCTCCAGCCCGTTTGATGCAAAGAACCCTTTCCTGGCACCTGTTACCCTGAACCGAAAGCTGAACCAGGGCGGAGAGAGGCACCTCATGCACTTGGAATTGGACATCTCTGGCTCCAAAATCAGGTACCCCTCCACTGGGGGATATTTTCCTTATACTGGGACGAGGTGGGGGGACCATAAGTGAAGCTTGGGAATTCACGTGCCTGACTTGTCCAGAGCTTAGAACGGAGGCTCACTATTGTGCATTCTGGCACCAAAAGGTTTTGGATCAGGATAACTTTGATCAATTTTTCTATTTCTCCTTGAAGGTACTTCCTCCTGTCTTAAATACTGTGCCGTTTCGTCACAGAACGGCTGCCGTGTTCCACCCCAGAGGTGGCGGTATGTGTCGGTAACAGTTGAGGAATCCCTAGAGCTGCAGTCTAGTGTTCTTGGGGCTCCTTCTTCAGTAAATATGCTAGAAGAAGAGAGCATCGTAATGGGAGCAGTACACTAATCTTTTTGGCTGCACTTCAACCAGTGCTGTTCAGGCATCCCTCTGTGATGGGCTGAACCCCCGAGATATTACCAGAGGTGCCGAAGATATCACTGAGCCCGCCTTTTTCTGCCAGCCTGGGCCCCCTTGAACTCTGTCTTGCTGAGGCCGGCTCTTAAGCCTCCTCCAGCAAAGCGCACAGGCAGGGCCCACCCCAGCTGCAGAAGATACAGACACTGAGATCAGCTCTGGGAGGACTCCACTTAAGGGACTTACTACAGCACCCAGATGTTCACACCCCCCTTTGGGGGTACAAGCCCAGAGTTATATAAAGTTCGCCTCCTCCCTTGAAGTGGAGGAAGGTATGCACAGCTCCCCGCCCCCCGGCTTAAAAATTGTATAAACTTGGTTCTATTATAAACCAGGGGTCGGCAACCTTTCAGAAGTGGTGTGCCGAGTCTTTATTTATTCACTCTAATTTAAGATTTCACGTGCCAGTCATACATTTAAACGTTTTTAGAAGGTCTCTTTCTATAAGTCTAGAATATATAACTAAACTATTGCTGTATGTAAAGTAAATAAGGTTTTTAAAATGTTTAAGAAGCTTCATTTAAAATTAAATTAAAATGCAGAGCCCCCCGGAATGCTGGCTAGGACCTGGGCAGTGTGGGTGCCACTGAAAATCAGCTCACGTGCTGCCTTTGGCACACGTGCCATAGGTTGCCTACCCCTGTTATAAACAATAGATAATTGTATTAATTACAAAAGGGCGTATTTTAAGTGGATAAAGAGGTGGCAAACAGAGCAAAACAGATTACTAAGAAAATTATACAAAGCACGCAAACTAAGCTAGATTCACTAAAGGAACTGGTTTAAAAATAATAATTCTTCACCCTAGATATTGGTTCAGGTAGAGTCCTTCACAGGCCAGAGGTGTCTTTTCTAGCCTGGGTCCAGCAGGTCTTCCCCCCCCCACCCTTTCAGTTCCAGTCCTTTTTGCTCCATGCATCTGAAGAAGTGGGTTTTTTACCCACGAAAGCTTATGCCCAAATAAATCTGTTAGTCTTTAAGGTGCCACCGGATTCCTCATTGTTTTTGAGATTGAAACAGGCAACCTTATACTTAAACCTCTGTAATAGTAGTAAATGGCTTTGCTAGTTCTGGTGTCTGGAAGGCTGAGGCCTGTAGAAGAGGGTGCAGAAACTTAGCTGGTGTACTCTTAAAGCAGAGGAAGCTGTCAGAGGCCTTAGGGTCCTTTGGATTCAGAGGCAAAGGGCATCTTTTCTGGGGTGAAATCCTGGCCCTATTGAAGTCAGTGACGAAACTTCAATAGGGCCAGGATTTCATCCCTAAACTTAAGTTTAGGGAGTCTTCAAGAATGTAGGATGATCAACCTGGTGCTGTTTAGCTTAGTTTCTAGGTGTATTGGCAGTGAAGAACCAGATTCTGCTCTCTGCTGTGCATACATGGCTCCCTTTTCACTCTGGATATCAAGGGATAGAATTTGGCCCTATGCTTTTGTGATCGCTGGGGGAGAGGGGGGAAGCTGAATCTAAAGATGAAATTAACCTGGACCAAAAGTGTGTTTTTTTTTTTTTCCCCCCCCCAGTCCCTCTTGGTTCCTTAACCCTTATTGAGCTCTGATGAGCCAGATGTTCCTGGAAGCTGATGCTTTCGTATGGAATAGTGCGGTGTTCTGGAGAGTGGGGAAATGAGGAAACATCAATATGTTCATTATAACTTCAAAACGTTGCCTCACGCTCATCAGTTTCTAGCTGTGTTAGCTCTGTCATCTGCTTGCAAACGTGTTAGATAGGATCTGACATCAAGTAGTGATGATATTTCACTGAATTAACTCTGAAGCTAAGCTATTGCACAGGGGGCGTGCGGTGTCTGTCCGTCTTCCTGAAAAGACACCTTTTAAAAATGGTTATTCCAAAGGGGCCACGTAGTGCAAAAGCATGTAATAAAATAGCTTTTCCCTCCCTGTTATGACTAGTATTTGGCTTTTAGATTAAATAAGCACGGAGAATCTCCCTGACCCCTACAGATCAACGCAGATAATAATTCAGTGCAGATTGTAAAGGAGACGCTTTTTGCATGTTCCACTTCGTGCTGCACTTCTAGCTGGTGTGCTTGCACCTGTTTGACTGGACATGACCCACTGTTGGTGTTGCATGTTGACATCCTTTTCCTCTCCCTAGGTATGAGTCCGGGGACCATGTTGCTGTGTACCCAGCCAACGACACATCACTAGTGAACCAGATCGGCGAGATTCTGGGCGCAGATTTGGATATGATCATGTCCTTAAACAACCTGGATGGTTAGTAGTCCAAACAAGAGCCATCTTTCCAGCAGCCGAGCGGAAAATCGCTCCTTGTCTTTTAGGCGTGTCTGAGTTTGTGTGTGTTACTTATGCAGAGCGGGGTTATCCCTAGATGAGACGAACTGAAGAACTGCTTTTGATCACGCGATCAGTATTTTTGCAGAGAAGGATCGTTTGGTTTCGATCCTACTTGGCCTGAGGCTCTCCGAATCAGGGCAGCGGATTTGCACCTTCTGCCTTTCCGTCAGGACCCAGATTAGGAAGAACGTCCGATCCTGCTGTCTCTGTGGGGCGGGGACCATGTTTTAGTTCTGTGTTTGTACAGCATCTAGCGCTGCTGAGTTTTGGTCTGAGACCGTGGCTTATTGCCACCAAAATACAGATAATTCATCCTAGAAACATAGGGCTCAAAGGGACCTCAAGAGGTCGTCCGTTCCATCCCCTGCACTGAGGCAGGATTACTGCCGAGTTTGAGTGCTGTTACATAATTAAGTAGCTCTCTTGTGACCATGCTACGCAGCTGTATGCACAAGTGAGGCAACTGACATGCCCGTAGTTACAGGGTACCAGAGCGAGCCTGCTGTGTCCTCCCTGTACGTTAGCAGATACTCTGCAGCACCAGAACCGCACTTGTTCCCTAGCGCCATGATTTAATCAAAGGGTTCGTCTCTGACTTGCGGTGTATTGAACTGTGCAGTGATAACGCCCTCGGGACAGCACTGCACTTACTTACACACATTGTTCTCAGCAGACTCAGCCAAGGTTGCTGACCCTCCTCGACGGCGCTCTGGCAGGACAGCATGTAAAAGCTATGAAAGGACACCGCGTGGGGCGTGCGACCTTCCCACCTACCATTCTGTTCTTTTGTATTGGGCAGTAGCCTAGCCTGGACTCCTTGAAAACAGGTTGTTATAGGGCAGGGACACCCAAGCTTTGCCCTCTCAAGGCAACTTCCTGGTGGCCGAGAACCAGTGCCCCAGTTTCCAGAAAGTGAAGCAGCTTGTCCACTGTAACATGCAGGTAGTGACGACAAGATCCCGGCCTGCAGTGCCCTCTCTGTCTGTTACAGCCACAGGCAGCATACCTTGGGCTCTTTCCTAGCTCGCTAACCTGAATTAACTCCAGCTTACGTGGCTGGTCATCGGGGTAGTCACGGAGCATTTGTGCTGGTGATTAGAGTGAACTACACTTAGTGATTACAGATTTGTTCTGAGGGTGCTTGATCCACTAGGCCGCACTGCCTTCCATGAAATCAGTTCCCCTTTCTGTGTCTGTTTCCCCATAAATGTGGTCTTCCTTGTGAACTTCCTTTCTAACGGCCTCACAGAGTCTCAAGTGTCGCTGAATTTCAACCTCTTTTCCCTTCCCCAGAGGAATCCAATAAGAAGCATCCGTTCCCCTGCCCCACCACGTACCGAACAGCCCTGACCTATTACCTGGACATCACCAACCCGCCGCGCACCAACGTCCTATACGAGCTGGCTCAGTACGCCACAGACCCCAACGAGCAGGAGCACCTCCGCAAGATGGCGTCTTCCGCTGCCGAGGGGAAGGTGAGCACGCCACTGCTTTGGCGGGCAAGGAGGCGGTTTAACGGGGATTCTCTCTGCGTGGCCTGTCTAGGAATTGCCAGACGGGTCTGTCTAGCTCAGTGTCCTCTTTCTGACACTGGCTGCTACTGGATCCTTCACAGGATGGTGTGAGGAAGCCCTGGATGGATAACCAGGGAGTATCTTGTTTGTAGACGTTCCTTCCTGACACCTGTCAGAGGTTGGCTTATGCCTTGAAGTATGAGGATTTACATAGACTTTTTTTTTTTTTTTTTTTGGTAAATATAAAATATTTTACCCTCTTTGTAATGTAACTGGGGCTGAACTAATTATCCATCTACGTGTCCAAGGCTGCTGATGTGTCAAGACAAAACAAGGGGGGAAGATCATACTTAAAGTAAATAATGGCCCACAAACCTTGTAATTGGTTTTGCCACTAGGAAAGGGTTAACTAGGTGTCATGAGTAGTTAAACCCCTGAATATCCACCAGAGACAGCCAGGTGTCTACAAATCCCTGGTAGAGCCTTGGGCAGCAGCAGGTAGACGGGAGAAAAAGACAAGGTTTTGATGAGTGTGTGTGTGTGTTCTTTCCCAAAACATTGGCTTTAGGAGCCTAAATCTCATTGACCTCCAATGAGACTCAGGCACCCACGTGTCTCAGTCACTTCTGAACATGGGAGCTTTGGAGCCTACGTGTCGTAGGCATTTTTGAAAAATTTGCCCCTAATTTTTCTCGGTGCCAAGTGTCTGGGTGCCGGTGGAGAGAACGAACAGAGGCCTTAGCGGTGGCTTGCCTTGGTTATTAGGAGGGAGGCTGGGTGAACCCCAAGAGTCCTATCATGCTTGGTCTGTGCCACGTGACAGGGCAGGGAGGTAGCGCCTGGCAGGGTGGGGTGGGCGGAGGAGTGTTCTGGGGGAGAAGTTAAAGGCCGCGAGTGCAGGTATCCCTGGGAGTGGCTTTGCTGATGGCAGGCAGAGTGCTCCCACTGCCCTGCAGAACTAACTTCCCGCAGCCCCATCCATCTCGGTGCAACTCCCTGAGTTTCCGCTACGATGTCCTCTCATGTTGCTGAGCTCCCCTGCACAGAGCTGCTCCTTCGTTGTGCCAAAGGAAGGGATGGGAAACCTGGTGACTGATGTCCGATAGAGTCACCGATTTTAAGTCCACGAGGGATGGTTATGATCCTCTCGTCTGAGCTCCTGTGTCTCACAGGCCATAGGATTTCACCTTTGCCTTGTTCTCCTGTCTATACCCTCTGTGCACCTAGACGCTGTACCTCAGCTGGGTTTTGGAGGCCAGAAGGAACATATTAGCCATCCTGCAGGATGTATCTTCTCTCCGACCTCCCATCGACCACCTCTGTGAGCTGCTGCCTCGCCTGCAGGCCCGTTACTACTCGATTGCCTCCTCTTCCAAGGTGAGCCTCCAGGAGCCGGGCAATCTATCAGCCCTGGTGAAGGACTTTGTTTCTTGGCGTGACCTAGGCCACTGAGCAACCCTGAGAGAGTCCTCTCCCTTTCCACCCCCTCAGCCATCCTGACAGATCCCTGCATGGTTGGGCATCTGGGGACTGGGACAGGAATGCAGAGATTTCCCCTTTAAGGAAACACATCCTGTGCACAGGTGGCTCCCTGTTATTCGTGGTCGCAAAGGCAAACGGTACTTTCTTTCACACATGGGATGCAGATTCAGTGTCTCCATCACAGCTACCACTCTGGTGCCCTGAGGCTGCCTCGCTCTGCTCTCGCTGCTCTAGGGCCCTGCTTCTATGGCTTGGTAGTGAGGTGGGTTCTGGAGGTAAATGCTCCGGGCCTTGGGATTGTTTTCATTCACATTTTGTACCAGGAGCTCAGAATGGGGCAGAGCCCTATACCTCCTCTCTGAGTGTGCGCCAGGCCAAAGCCGTAGCTGAGACTCAGCCTGGCTTTAGTTCTGCTGCAGTCATAAGTGTCCTGCGAGGCTGGAGACGCCGTTACAAGCTAGCTCAGGACAACGGGATGCTGAATCTAAACTGTCCTGCGCTGTAATTTGGAGAGAAGCAGCGGAACAGCTCGGGCCAGAGATCTGACCTGGTTTCGCGTGAGAGGTGCATCCTCGGGAACTCCCGGTGCAGATCACAGCATCCTTTCACGGTTACACGTCCCGCGCGCACACGCAGAGCTCACGTTCCCCCCAGTTGCCCCTCTGGCTGGAGGGAGGTCTGGCTCCATCCCTAGCTCTAACAGAGAGAACTTGGGGTGCAGCAAAACCTCACTCTTCTTGCAATGGGGGAGGGATAGCTCAGTGGTTTGAGCATTGGCCCGCTAAACCCAGGGGTGTAAGTTCAATCCTTGAGGGGGCCACTTAGGGATCTGGGGCAAAATCAGTACTTGGTCCTGCTAGTGAAGGCAGGGGGCTGGACTCTATGACCTTTCGGGGTCCCTTCCAGTTCTAGGAGATGGGTATATCTCCACATATTTATATTATATGATTATAATGCAGGGAGACGGGGACTGGTACAGGATTCAGGTAGAGAGCATGTCATACCAGCACTCCGCCTCCTCCCCGTCCTGCTGGGCAACTAACCCCATCTGCTCAGGGGAAGGGAGATACCAAGATCCGCTCACCAAGGCTCTGGCATTCCTCCAAGCAGGGGGGCACTAAAGGACAACTCCCTTGATGATAGACTCTAGCACAAGGGTAGGCAATATAGGTGGACTGCGGGCCAAAGCCAGACCCCCAAATGCTTTTGCACAGACCCTGAAATTTTTTACTTGTTGTTGTTGTTGTTTTTTTATTATTATTATTATTTTCTTCTCTGGAGTCTGGACCTTGACCAAGAAATTTGGACCTTGACAAAAAATAGATTACCCCAATAGCATCTTGTCCTGGTGCTTCTATTTAGCACAGCCTGTGGGCATGTCTGCTCTGCAGTCAGAGGTGTGACAGCATCTGGAGCCTGAACAAATAACAGCAGGGAAGTTGTGACAGCATTGGCGGCGGCCGCTCAAGTACAAACCCAAGGTCCCAAGCGGGCTTGCATCGCCCGTGCTGCCATGACTTCACTGCTATTGTTACTAGATCAAGGCTGGTCCTGCAGTCACACCTCTGACTGCAATGGAGATGTACCTTGCGTGGAATATATAGAGGCAAAATTGTTCCCGTGGAGCCGTGTAAGATAGAGGGGGTATAAATTGTGTCTTTAGCAGGAGGTCCACTTGGGTTGTCATCTGAGAGCTGCAGGAAAGAGTGGCTTGAACTAACCGTTCTTGTTAGCTTCCCCGCTCCAGTGGGTGCTGGTTCTTGTCTATGGACAGCCCATGGGACTCATTCCCCCGCAGGGGTTGCCCAGAAGCCAAACGGGTGACTGCACTTCTCTAAAGCTGCTGCCAATTTTGGTTTTGCTCCAGGTTCACCCTCACGCCATCCACATCTGCGCTGTGGTTGTGGAATACGAGACCAAGACAGGCCGGTTGAACAAAGGAGTGGCCACTACCTGGCTGAAGAACAAGGTGCCCAATGAAAACGGGCACAAGTTGACGGTGCCCATGTACGTCAGGAAGTCACAGTTCCGGTTGCCTTTCAAACCCAACACGCCCGTCATCATGATCGGGCCCGGGACTGGGATCGCCCCGTTCGTTGGCTTCGTTCAAGAACGGGCCTGGCTGAAGCAGCAAGGTGAGTGTGCAGCGGCGGTGCCAGATCAGCTGGTCCCGGAGTAGCCATCAACTGGATGTGCTGCCTCTTCGCGATAGTGCCAGTATCCAGTGGCTGCCAGAGGTGGGCCCCCTCCCATACAGCTGTGGCTCGTTCCTGAGGGGGCTTCAGAAGTAGCTCTCTCGTAGCATGTGGGGGAGAGCCGGGGGGGCGGGAGGGGAGAGACTTTCAGCAGCCGTAAGGGTTTGGTGTTTTTGAAGGTTAGAATGTAAAAGTCCGTCTGTTACGGGAGCATTGTTCTGATTATTTCCTGTAAACCCCTCCCACTCCGCGCATCCCCCAGTCACCTAGGTCAGCACGGTTTGCTGCAGGTGTGCAGGCTTGTAGGGGGCACCCCCTCCCACCCAGACCTGTGGTGACTGACAGCACCGTGGGCCAATCACGGCTCTCTTGTGATAGTGGGGCTCTATGGAGCAACCCTGGGGTGCACTTGGGGCACCAGCGGCAGCCCATCTTCTGTGTTCACTTGCAACCCGGGGTCCCTGGGATAACGAGGGGTAACTGCCCCCTTTTCCCCCAGGTTCAGCTCCTACCCCAGCACACTGCTGGAGGGGAGCAGGTCCCTTTTCCTCTGTGGGCTCCTCGGAGCAGGAGGTTATGTGGCTGCGGGTGTAGAAGGTTGCTGCCTTCTGCTAGCCCTGGTAGGGTGGACGGATGGGCCACTGACCTGGCTTTGATTCCCTGCTCCGCCACAGACCTTGTCCAAGTCACTTAGGCCCACATCCCTTTGAAAGCAATGGAAGTTAGGTGTCGTGGAAGTCCCGTCAGTAGCTGGCTAGCTAGCCACGTGGAGGTGGCGGGCCTGGGCTGACAGCTGTCACGTTGGGTCCCAGGGAAGGACGTTGGCGAGACGGTGCTGTACTACGGCTGTCGCCATGAGAACGAGGACTACCTGTACCGAGAGGAGCTCGCCCAGTTCCACAAGGAGGGAGCCCTCACCCAGCTCAACGTCGCCTTCTCCAGGGACCAAGCCCAGAAGGTAAAGCCCAGCAAAGAGGCTCCAGTCCCTCCCTCCAGCCCATGTGTGGGCGGCTGGACTCTTCCAGTCGGGTGGGTGCTGCAGGAGGAGAGGCCCTGGGAGCTGCCAGCCCCAGCCCAGGCTACTGCTCCAACCGCGTCCTGGCAGCATTGGCCTGTCCCCTGTGCTTCAGAGCAAGGCGGCTCCATGCCCTGCAGAGTGCAGCTGGCTGGGCGTGAATGGGGAGGTGCCCCAGCCGTGGGGAGCGCCAGTCTGCACTCCGGCTTGGCTTGAGAACCTGCCCTAATGTCCCTCCCCTCCCCCCCAGGCTGTTGCCGGAGAGGGTCAGGCCCACTGACGTCCCCTGAGCAGCTTTGGTTCCCTCCCGGAGGGACATGCAGCAGCTCTGGGCCGAAGCGGCCAGCTCGGCGCATGGAATCCGCGTTGCTCCCTTCCCCGCTCTTCTAAACCCAGCTGCCTTTGTTCTGCCAGGTCTACGTTCAGCACTTGCTGAAGAAGAACAAAGAGGGGGTCTGGAAGCTGATCCACGAGGGGAACGCTCACATCTACGTGTGCGGGTAAGGCCAGCCCGGGGTCCTCGCAGGCTGAATTGCATCGGGGCCCTTGGCTGGACTGTGGGATAACCTGGGGTTTCCCATTGCTGGCCCCTATTGTCGAGGGGGCTGGCATGTGGCTTTACAAGGAGCTTGCACCTTGAGTTACTTTAAGGGTTGCACCATGTGGCTGGATTCACTTAAACCATCCATTGGGTTCGGTGACGCTCCCGTGTGTGTGTGAAAGGGGAGGAGCAAAGCTCTCGACTCTCACACGTGGGGGCTGGCACCTCAAAGGCGGTGGAGCCATCTCCCTCACTGTCCTGTGTTAGGCTCCGCTCCCGGCCACAGTCCCTGGGGCGGCGTACGGGAGGGAGGGTCTGCCAGCAGGTGGCAGGCTCGAGGCCTTGCTATGGGCACGGACATGGGAGCCCTGGGTTCGGTCCCCAGCTTCCCCTCCCGCCCTGTGTCTCTGTAGCCGATGAACCCGTTGGGGCAGGCTGTGTCTGTGCACGTACAGCTCCTAGCACAACTGCGTCTCTCAGGGCCCAGCAGACACAGGCTGGGAATAGAGCCATCGCAGAGCGTCCGCGGAGAAGGGCCTTGCTGAGCTGATGAGGGGAGGTAGAACCAGCAGCTCCCTGGGCTGAGGGCTGCCGGCTCAGTCAGTGCCCACAGCGGGCCTGGCCCCTGGGGAGCACCGAGCACCTCATGAGGCAATCAGCATATCCTGGGCTAACTGGGAAAGGCCTGGGGCAGGAGGAGGGGCCATTTGGGTGCCAGGGAGGGAGGAAAGGCGGCTGCAAAGGGGCCAGGGCCAGGTTCGGTGAGTGATGTGCTCTCACACCTCCCCTCCCTCCAGCGCAGCTGGGGATGGAATAACAGCAGCCTGGTCTAAGCACAGGCTTGGGAGCCAGGAACTCCTTGGCTCTCCCCCAGCTCTGCCATGGACTTGTCAAACAGCCTTTGGCAAGACACCTCCCCTCTGCTGATTTCCCAGGCTGTGAGCTGGGGCAGCTCCTTGCAATGCAGGGGTGCTGTGAAGGCCACTGGTCCCGGGGGATTGTGGCCCACGCTCCATAACATGGAGTTTACCTGCTCAGTGTCCCTCTGATCCCTCACTAGCCAAGCTCCTTAGACCTGGAGCTGATCCTGGCTAGGCCAGCCTGGCCTCTGCAGTCTCCCCTTCCCCCAGGGCTATGGACCCACGGGAGGTGGAGGAACGACGCCCGCCCTCACTCACGTCCTTGTCATTCCAGCGACGCTCGCAGCATGGCGCGGGACGTGCAGAACACCTTCTACGAAATCGTGGCCGAGTTCGGGAGCATGACCCAGCCCCAGGCCGTGGACTATGTAAAGAAACTGATGACCAAGGGCCGCTACTCCCTGGACGTCTGGAGCTAAGCCGGGCTCCCGGGCGGGGGAGAGGAAGGATTCCCCGACGGCTGCTGGACCTGCCCCAGCCATTGCAAGAACGTGCCACTGAAACGAAACTAAACCTTAGATCCCCTCACCTGGTAATCGCCCTCTGTACCCGCCTCCCCCCTCCGCTAGACTGCTCTCGAGAGCCCTGCGAAGGGCGGGGCGGGAACTGCTGAAATCCCCCTGGGTTTTCTGGGGGAAGACGCGTCTCCACTGCGGTGGCCGGGCTCGCCCCTGGAACTAGCAGGAGCCAGGGCTTGATGACCCCCTCCCCCCCCGGAGCTGCTTTGTGCTCCCATGGAAACAGACATGGG